TAAAGTTGACAAAGGTCTGAGATGGGAACAAATGTAGAAAAGGGGCAGAAGAGCTCTGTGCTATCGATTGTCCTAAGGTCAATTGACAGCTTTTCTCATCTTGTTATGTTTTACTCCTTCTAAAGATGTAGAGAAAATGTTCTTTTAATGCACCAGACAGATACAGAGGCAGAAGGGAATATGTGGGTAGAACATTTAAGGGCATATTATCCTCTTCAACACACACTTCTATGCCAGGTGCCTACAGCTTCCAAATGGGCAGCAGAAAATGAACCCTAGGATTCCATAAAGTTTCTGAGAGCCGATAATGTGAACAGCAACCAGTGAACGAGTTAAGTAGTAAAACCATCTCAATTTACGTCTCCTTCAAGTTCAGCATGCAGCCGACTGCACTTAAGCATAGCAATCAACTGTGATAGAAGAAATCCCAGTTACAGTAAGCAAAGAAATAGCTTCAAGGCAGCAGATAACTGTGCAGGGAGAGAAGGTCAGAACAGGTGAAAAGAAATCCTGGAGGTAGAGAGTGAAAGCTTGGACTCCATTTGGGTGATTTTTAACTACCCTTGCCTATTATGGGTGACAAAGCTTAATTGTTCCCTTTACTTAAACTTACACTGCATGGTGTAAATATGCACATACAAGCACTTGCATGTGCACACACACACACACACACGGGGAACATTTCAAGGCTGTGGAGAAGCACTAACTAATTCCTAATGATGCTATGAGTGCGATATGGGTTGCTAACAGTAGATAGTTTATGAAATATGTCTTCGTGGTGGTGAGTCTACCAGGTTGATTCTAATTTAAAGCTTCAAATATACTGCAGCACAGAGCTGTCATATGATAACCATGTGTATTATTATTGCTAGTAGCACTAGGCAATCACTCATTTATTTCACCTGGCTTGATTCATGCTTTTGCATGATAACATGCCATTAACAAATATCAAGTTTGGCTGTCTTGAATTTGGATAAAAGTTCCCTTTATTTACAGCTACACTATATATGTGGGGTTTTTTTGTTCATTTACATACATAAGTCTTTTCCATGTGGAGTCTACATTTTGTGAGGATACATACTGTGTTCTATTTTATTGTACACACAATAAAAATGGTTGATTGTCTGATAAGAGCAACAGCTTTCAGCAATAATCCACACATTGACTGTACTGCTTCCAAAGGAACCAACTCAAATACAGGTGTAAATCATGCATGGGTGACATGATATCAGAACTCTGTATTGCTGATTTCTCCACAAATCTGTTTTTTTTTAATCATTGTTATTTTACCCACCTGGTTGGAGAGAGTGTTCCTTAAGTGCTTCTCTAGGTGAATCTAAGGGATGCACAACCACCTCATTCACTCAAGGTAATGACGCTGGGGGTTCCAACACTAATCATCTTTACATAGGAGGGAAAGCAGTGACATAGCCTCACTCACAGCATTATTACCTCAGCTGCCTAGAGATGCACACTTCAATAGAACAGTTAAAGGGAGGGTAGAGACGGCTACCCAATTATAGAAGGGTGGGCACAAAGCTAATCCCACATAAAATGTGCCCAGCCATGTATACCACACAGATGACAGGTCAAATAATCATTATGACATTTGGAAGGCATCTTTGATTTATATCACCAAATAGCAAGACAAAGAAGCCACCTGTCTCTAAGCACCACCCTATTGAAATGTTCCTTCACCTACGGCAACGGTTTAATTTGGAAACACCTTTTCTCTTCTCCATATTTATATTAAAGGATGCAATGGTCAGAATCAAGCTTGTTATGGCTTCCCGAATCATCCTCAGTACAGGCAATTTATGATTTATGAGCTTAGAGCTGATTATGTAATCTATGGTCACATCTCTCTCCCTTTTTTTATTACCCAAATTTTGGACCACTGCTGATCATTATACCCTAATCAGAGGTCAAGAGGAAAAGGGGGGGGGGGATTATAAGTGAAGGTTTGGTGGCCACATAAAAAGAGAATTACTCATGCAAACGTTTTTACAGATGTTTATGGCCTAAGTGATCTCCTTACTCATTACCCCAGATAATCACAATGTTCAGGTTTGCCTGGTAGCTTTAAGCCACCGTATCACCTCACTGAAACTGCATAAAATCAAGCCCTGGACTAATTATGCTGCAGTGCTCATTCTGATGCCTGAACTCTACCTCATACATACACTTAATTGTCCCAGCTTCTAACTTCACTATCTGCTTTCTTCTCCAATGCCTCACCTCATCTTGAATCTGAGACTCAGTATCTCCTTTACTACTGTTCAGATGGCCCCATAGTGACAACACCATCAACTATACCAGGAAAATACTTCTCGTAGTTCCACCCAGTCCTCAGCATCTCATGTCTCTGTGCTCCAGGTTAATAAAAAAGGACTAAAAAGATACAACACATGTATATTTAGATGTTGCCATGAACTTGCAGTACAGTGCCTGACTTGAGAACCGTGAGCACTGGAGTTCTATTTTACTCATTATCATTTAGATATGAACCCAGCGTTCCTATTTCACATACTGTGAACTTCATAAATTCCTTAACTTTGTAGACATAAGTGAGATTACAGAAGTAGCAGTACTTCTAAGAATTAATCCTACTCTGAACCATTTTGGACCACTGTCTATTATATCCTCCGGTGCCATCTCTGAAGGGGCCGAGGGATGTGTTCTGGTATGAGTTTGTTACCAGAGATAATGTCTCTCTCCCTGAGGAGTGGCAGCCTTTGTCTAGGAGATAACGATTACATATGCTGTTATACATTCCTTTTGATGTTGTCCACAAGGAATGTTAGAGGTAAATCAAATGCTCACTGTCAGAAAACATGTCAGGCCATGTAAGAATGATAACTTGCCACATTATCCTTTTATAGCTTTTATTTTCTATTATTATTTTAGTAGTCTTATTGTAAAACTACCTTTTACTGTAAGCTACTTTGTGTCTTTTGAAAAGGTGAGTTACTAGCATTATTTTCAAAGTAAACTCATCCCACAAATACACTCAAAGTAAATCTACATCTCAGACAGCATGATGTACAAAATAAACTCATTAACCCAGGGAGAAGAAGGAGAAAATTATCCGTATACATATGGGCATTTAGATGCTGACCACATCCAAAGGTGATGAGCTATACAAATGTTCTATAATACAGAGAATTTTACAAAGACCTAAGTTATAGCAACAAGACTGCTCAAGTAAACATAACTAGAAATATCTCATAAACCACAGTTTAAGATGTGAAAGGTCATCAAAAACGGTTCAGTGGTTCTACTTAAATTATTGCCTAACTATCCTACCTGCTATATATGCTTTTTTTTCCCCATCTATTGCTGAATTACATTAGTTCTTTGGCTGTAATTGGACTTGAACTTTTCAGTTCCAATGATGCTTTACATTAGGAAACTGAATATAGTGGTGGAAAATGTGGAGTGTAGAACCAATCACTATTTGTTCGACATATAATTATCTTCTCTTTCAGCTTAGGATGTAGCCTTGGCTCTGGTGCAACTCAAATCTGTATGGGTGTCATCTGATTTACAGCAGATGACCTGGTATCATATGAAAATAATTTACTGTGCCATATGTCTCCAGCTCTGTAAATCAATAGCTTGAATACAGAGACATCTCAATTAGACAGTGCAAGAAGGGTAGGGCAATCTACCTCCTCCTTTCCTATATCATTAAAATGGCAAGTATTACAAAGCAGTGCTTGTTTTAGAGTTGCTTCAAAAGTGGGGGCTGGATCTATTATTTCAAGTTGGGAGACATAAAGTGAGAGCTGCCATCAAACCAAATGAAAAATTGAGCACAAGGTTGTGTAAGTAATAGCTTATGAGGGGTGGGACAAACATTTGTTAAACTATTGATTGGTGCATTTCTACAGCACCTGTGTATTATCATGGGCTCAGAGAGTGGAATGGGATGTTAAATTATGACTCAGAATACAGAGGAGTCACCCATCCTTTCTAACCTGCTCCCCTAAGAAGTCTCTAAACCAAAGTCACAAACATTCATGGTATTCATCACAATGAAATAAATCATCTGTAGGCTCAACTTTGGTTTCTCCCTGCAATGCATTCAAAGCTTAAACTATCATTATAAAAGCTTCATAATGAGGAAGCCAAATCATCTATCACTGATCACATCCAAATCCCAATAGGAAATTAAACAGAAGATCCACATAGATTGATCGGAAAAGTTTTAAGGCAACTTCTCAAACTTGATTCTGCCTGGGATAACCTCAAGAAAGAGAAAAAAATAATGCAAAATTAATTCCCTGATTTTGCAAATGGTGAAGTGAAATACAGAAATGAAAGTAAATCGTCTTTCACAGAGTTCCCTTATCAGGTCCCAGGATTGGAACTGCACATGTCTGTGTTTTTCCATGGAATTGAACAGACTTTAAATAATAGATTGAACCTTCAACTGGTCCCATAGTAACTATAATTGGTAGCTGAAAGATTCTGACTGTGCAGGAATTAAATCTAATCAGAAGCCTCCTTCCAAATTCAAGTTACGTCTTTTTAAAGGAAAGAAACACATTGACTTAGATTTTTTTTAACCATTGGTAAATGTTTCCTTTAAGTACTGAGTAAGTGCTTCCTGAACAATTAGATTCACATTCTCTGTCCACTTTAAAATAGAATTATAATAACTGGTAAACTTTCATCCTCCTGGTTGGTCTTTCACAGGGCATTCCTACAGGCCACACAGCGACTACTTCTTCCTGGAAGATCCCTTGGAAAGCCATGAGAGAAGAAAAGACAACCAGATCCAATAAAGTCAAGACTATGTGAGGTGCAAATATCAAGTCTCAGCCAACCAGCTCCAATACTATCTGATGGCTGGGCCAGAAAAGAAGGCCTAAGCTCTTAGGAAATTAGCTTCTCAAATTCAAGAGAAGCTTTCACAATGAAAACTCAAGCACAAGTGCTATTGGTGCAGGAAGAGATGCACCTCCAGAATCAAGAGGCTCAGTTCAGAGGCATACCTAGAGAATTGTTGCTGCAGACCACGCATCTGAACTCGGTTGCGCTCAGACTCCAGTGTCACCTCCTGCAACCGCTTCTCACTCTGAAGACGTAAGTGTCTCTCCTCTTCCAATTCATGCATCAGCTTCTCATGCTATAAAAGGCACAAAGGGAATGACTTTTTAGAAGGTGTTTCTTAATTACTATGAGAAAAAAATAATTAGTAAGAGCTGTCAGTTACCAACCGCTAAGTTGGACTTTATATATAAATTAATTTCATCCTCATTACAACCCCATCAAGTAGGTTCTATTATTAACCTCCTATTACAGATAAGAAAACTAAGGATCAGAGACATCTAAGTAATTTGTCATAAAAACCAGAAGGTAACAGTTATCAATCCTGCCTGATTTGTCTCTAATGCTTGAATAATTTTCACTAAACCAAGTGGCTTCTTGTGCAGACATGAAGATCTATGACCCAATAATGCTATCAAATATGTTGTAATTCAAGTAGTGATGAGTAAGATCATTAGTAGGCTGTTCAGAATTATTTCATACCTTCAATGTCTGGTATATGCTTTTAAAGAAACATAACTGACTTTTTAAAATTTACCATCTTAACTATTTAAAATTTTTTTAAGTTTATTTATTTATTTTTGAGGGAGGGAGGGAGGGGGAGAGAGAGAGAGAGAGAGAATAAGCGGGGGTAGGGCCAGTGCCAGAGACAGGGGGAGAGAGAAAATCACAAGTGGGCTCTACACTGACAGGGTGGAGCCCAATGTGGGCCCTAACTCATGAAATGTGAGATCATGACCTGAGTTGAAATCAAGAGTGGGATGCTAAAGCAACTGAGCCACCCAGGCGCCCTGAAACATAACTAATTTTTATACAATGACCTGCAATTTCAACTTAATTAGGCCATGGAGTTGATGAGAATAAGGTTAAATAATTTGTTTTTATTTCTCTAATTAGGTTTTCACAGATAAAAAATAGGGTAAACCACTCACTTTATTATTATCCCAGAAAACTAGCCCATTCACAAATGGGACTCAGGGTTTCAAAGGACTAGATGACTCAAAATAGATGGTCCAGCAAAAACTCATTCCAAAAACAAGGAGTCAAGTTGGCAAAAGAGTAGGGGAACCCTAATCTTGCCTCAGCCCTTGAACACAGCTAGATGAATATCAAATCATTTTGAACACCCAAAAAATCAACCTGAGGACTGAGAAAACAAAACTGCACAACTAGAGGTAGAAAAATGGCCACATCATGGAAAGTAGGAGCTGCAGAGAGTTGATTAGGGGGAGAAAAGAACTGTGGGTGCTGTGATGGGGAGGGAGCACTGATCAGAGAGAGAGAGAAGTGAAAGAGAAAGAGAGAGAAAGAATGAAAGCACACACAGGGGACTTCACAAGAAAAACTCTTCCTCAAAACCGCTGGCTGGGAAAAGGAGAGAGGATGACTACTACAAGTTTTTATAAGGAGCAGAGCACAGCATCTGGAGCACAGATTTGTAGGTCTGCACCATTGCCAGGGTTGTGCCTGGTGGGCCTTGTGGTACTCCGGTGGGGAAGGAAGGTGGAGACCCAGAAGTGGGCAGTGTGGTCTGAGGCTCCCCTGGGTCACAGGCAGAGAAACAGTTCTCCTGCTTGGATACATTTGGGAATGGAGACACGGCCTCTGAGGGAGCAAAAGAATTGACAGCACCAACATGCTGCCCTGTTTTCTAGCATAGGAACAAAGACACTGGGTGAGAGCTGCAAACTTTGGTGCCGGCTTTTTGTTGCACTTTACCATAAACTCTGAACCACTGCCCAATCGTGTAACCGATTTCTGAGACAAACCAGCACCGGCCACAGTGCAGTGAGACCCTCCCCCAGAGGATCAGTGCAGGTCCGAACTCTGGGAATCTCTAAAACTTGAAGTTCTTAAACCCAACCACACACCTGTGATAAAACACAGATGTACTGTGTTAAAACCACACACCTGTGATAAAACACAGATGTACTGGCAGGCAGACATCTCAGGTACAGACAGGGTAAAGGCAGGGATCTGGAAGAAGCCAGGGACACAAGAGAGTTGACTGTTTGCTCTTTTGTGAGGGCTTCCTGAAGAGTGGTGGACAGTTGTCCACCTGGGGATGACAGAGTGGGATGATGCCATTTTGCCCCATGCCCAATGCACTGATGAAACTCAGTGAGCTAAACAGCAACATTCCTTGTGGGTTGCAACCACTTACACCAAGCCCCACCCCCTGGGCCCTGCAGGAGCATCTCCACCAGTTCAAGTCCTCCTGAGAATCAGTACAGCAGGCCCCACCCCTAGACCAGCACAAAACCTTCCCATGCACCAAGTCTACTGCTCAGAGGGAGCTGTAAAGCTTCAGCTCTAGAAGAAATAGGATCTAGCTTCCTGGTGTTTTTGTTTGTTTGTTTGTTGGGACCTAGCTTCTTTAAACCCTCAAACCAAAACACACCTAGGATCTAGTTTCCTTTTTTAGGGGGCTGGATATGGTACCTCTTCTTAATATAGGCATTATGTTCAGGAACATAAATACAATAGGTTTTCCTAACAATCACACACATTCAAAAACAGTGACCCGGACAAAATGACAAGATGGGGGAAGTCACCTGAAAAGAAAGAACGGTCAATGGTCACAGTCAGGAATTTAATTATACAGAAAAAAAATAGGATGTCTGAACCAGAATTTAAAACAATAATCATAAATATACTAACTGGGCTTGAGGAAAGCATAGATGACACTAGAGAACCCCTTAATAGAGAGATAGAAGAATGAAAAACTAGTCACACTGAATTTAAAAAATGCTATAAGTGAGATGCAAAACCGAATGGATGCAATTACAAGGATGGACAAAACGGGGGAACACTCATCTAAACAGAAAATCAACAAGTAAACAAAAGCTTTGAATGACACAATGGACTAGATGGACTTAACAGATCCTAAAGCAGCAGAATAAACATTCTTTTTGAATGCACATGAAACATTCTCCAGAATAAATCACATACAGGTCATAAATCAGTCCTCAACAAGTACAAAAAGATCAAGATCATACCATGCATGTTTTCAGACCACAACACTGTGAAACTTGAAGTCAAACACAAGAAAACATTTTGAAAGACCACAAATGCATGGAAATTAAAGAACATCTTACTAAAGAATGAATAGGTTAACCAGGAAATTAAAGAATAAATTTAAAAAATACATGGAAGCAAATGAAAATGAAAGCATGACAGTCCGAAAACCTCTGGGATGCAGCAAAGACAGTCCTAAGAGGGAAGTATACTGCAATGCATGGCTACATCAAGAAGCAAGAAAAGTTCTCAAATGTACAACCTAAACTTACACTTTAAGGAGCTAGACAAGAAACAGCAAATAAATGTTAAAGCCAGCAGAAGAAGGCAAATAACAAAGATTAGAGCAGAAATAAATTATATAGGGGGGGGGAAATGATACAGAAAAGAAAAACAACTAAGAACTGGTTCTTCAAAAGAATTAATAAAATTTCCTAGTCAGACTTAACAAAAAGAAAATAGAAAGGACCCAAAAAGATAAAATCATGAATGAAAGAGGAGATATCACAACCAATACCACAGAAACATAAACAATTGTAAGACAATACTATGAAAAATTATATGCCAACAAACTGGGAAATCGGAGAAAAATGGAAAAATTCCTAAAAACATACAAACTACCAAACTGAAACAGGAAGAAATAGAAAATTTGAACAGACCCATAAGCTGCAAAGAAATTGAATCAGTAATAAAAAATCTCCCAATGAAGTCCAGGGCCAGATGGCTTCCCAAGGGAATCCTACCAGACATTTAAAGAAGAGTTAATACCTATTCTTCTCAAACTGTTCCAAAAAACAGAAATGTAAGGTAAACTTCCAAACTAGAAGGTATTTGGAAGGTAAACTTCCAAACTAGAGGCCAGTATTACCTTGATTCCAAAACCAGAAAAAGACCCCACTAAAAATGAGGATTATAGGCCAATATCCCTAATGAGCATGGATACAAAAATTCTCAACAAGATACTAGCAAATCAAATCCAACAGAACATTAAAAGAATTATTCACCACCATCAAGTAGGATTTATCCATGGGCTGCAGGGCTGGTTCAATATTTGCAAATCAATCAATGTGATACACCACATTAATAAAAGAAAGGATAAGAAACATATGATCCTGTCAATAGATGAAGAAAAGGCATGTGATATCATTTGAAAGCATCCATTCTTGATAAAAACCTTCTACAAAGCAGGAATAGATGGAACATATTTCAACATTGTAAAAGCCATATATAAAAGACCCACAACTAATATCATCCTCAATGGGAAAAAACTGAGAGTTTTTCCTCTATAGTGAGGGATAAGACAGGGATGTCCATTCTCACCATTACTATTTAACATAATACTGGAAGCTTTAGCCTTTGCTCTCAGACAACAGAAAGAAATAAAAGTCATCTAAATCAGCAAGGAAGAAGTCAAACTTTCACTATTTGTAGATGATATGATACACTAAATAGAAAACCTGAAAGGTTCTAAAAAATTGCTAGAACTGATACATGAATTTAGCAAACTTGGAAAATATAAATCAATGAACAGAAATCTGTTGCATTTCTATACACCAGTAATAAAATGGCAGGAAAAGAAATTAAGGAATCAATCCCATTTACAATTGCACCAATAACAGTAAGATACTTATGAATAAACCTAACCAAAGAGGTAAAAGATCTATACTCTGAACACAACAGAATAGCTATGAAAGAAATTGAATAGGACAAAAAGAAATGGGAAAAAACTCCATGCAGATGGCTTGGAGGAACAAGTGTTGTTAAAATCTCTATACTAACCAAAGAATTAGACCTATTTAATGCAATCCTTATTAAAATACCACCAGCATTTTTCAAGAGCTAGAATAAACAATTCTAAAATTTGTATGGAACCACAAAAGACCTGAAGAGCCAAAAGCAATCCTGAGGGGAGGTGGGGGGGAAGTGAAGCTGGAAGCATCATGATTCAGGACTTATGTAACAAAACTGTTGTCACCAACACAGTATGGTACTGACACAAAAACAGATACTGAGATCAATGGAACAGAACAGAAAACCCAGAAATGAACCCACAACTACATG